ATATGAACGCATTCCCGATTCTTTCAGTCTTAATGATGCTGTACTAACAGCGAAAGCTCTACTTCAAATAAAGCTAAGTATTTACCATCTAACAACAGTATCATTGGCTATATTATTACTCTATTGCTCGTATATAGTTACAGTCGCTTGAAAACTCAACCATGAGCACCTACAAGTTAAGCTGAAATAAATCCCTTATCATCATGATTAATGCACTAACCTTCCCAAGTAACCCATCTCTCCAGTAAGGTTAGCGACAAGTCGATTGACCCACGCAGCTTCCTTGGGATCACCATATGTCAGCAATTCACCATTTTCTTCTTCTTGGCAAATCTTTCTTGCCTCGACCCAAGTGCGTTTGTCATACTTCTCGATGACTATTTTATAGATATACGGATCGTGCTTAAAAACTGATAAGAAGATCACAAATAAACAAATTACTCAAGCGAAGTGGTTGATAATAGTTTTCTRTTTGCAGGCAGACGATATCGTCTGGTTTGCAGGGGAGGATACAGGGGATTGTGGGTATGAATTGTGTGGSTGCAATATTAGTCACCTTGAGAATTACTAATGCTTTACTGTTGTTTTTTCATATCTACTCAGTGTAAACTCTACGGATCTGTCTTCAGTTTTTTTTATCCCAAATACCACTACAAAACATGCTACAAATACCTATATTTCTCGATTTCGTAAACTTGATATTTTCACTAGTGAAAATAACGTTATTACTAATTTACTAGTGAAAACAACATATTCGAGGTTTCTCTATATAGTGGAAGTAAGAAAAAAGGTATTTTACGATATAATTTCCTTTCATATGTAATTATATGATAAACAGAATATCACATGGTGGGAACTAGCGGTAAACTAGTGTGAGCTGCGTCGGTGTTTCTAAAGAAACAGTTATGTGAAAAGATAAATTTAACACCGTAAAAAAGTAAGTTTAGTAAGTTTTTCCACATACTTTTTTACGGTGTTAAATTTATCTTTTCACATAACAGAATATCACATGGTCGCTTGGAGATACGAATTTTATCTTTTCGTGTTGAAAATCGCTACGCTCACTCGTGAGAGATCTTTTCAACACTCGAATATAAAATCCGTATCTCCGCGCGCCTATGTAATATTCTCTATACCTATATGTGCCATATTCACACAATATCTCCTAAAACGACTTCTTGGTAAGAAGCTTATGCAAGAACGTCCAGACCTCAAAAATCACATTTTGTGTTTTTTTTTTAAAAAGCCATTTCTGTACCAAATTAAACACCGAGTCGTCCGCCATCTTGTTACGGATTTGCAAATGCCCGTATGTTTACAGGAAAAATTAGTGACTTATTTTAGATACGCGTTTACTGCGAACGTCAAAAGTCAAAACTGATCACGTGATCATCATCTATCTCCCTCCTATAACTCTTTAATTGCTTACGCAATCGTCGAGTAAGCAATCGTCGAGTTAAAATTGTTATACATATAGATATATGTTTCCCGTTGACAGCAAATAAAACAGTTGAATAAAGAAACTATGATGAATAGAATAGAGATCAGTATTGAGATTGTTCAATGACAGCGGAAGCGCTCCAAGGCCATGCATGTACCCCACGGGAAATATATTGATGCTATCCAAACCGCAATGTTGAGTATTCGGTTTCTTATCCTTCTGCGCAAATGGAAGATGCCTTTTCTGACCTGAAATTGACCTCGGTATCTCGAAAATGGATTCCATTTTAAAATATTTCTGATGAGCATTTACCAATTTACTGTATCATAGAGATAACAAATTACAAATTTGTATACAAGTTTTTGTAAATCAAACAAAAAAAATCCACACATTTTTAAAGTASACCTTTTGTTTCGTACGGCTTGTAAATTGGTCGAGTTCTGTTGTTATCTACAATTGGTCGTTAAGCTGCTTGATGAATGAAGGAACATATTTAGAATCGAATGGACCTACCAAAACATCTGTAACGTGAATCTTRCTGAATATTATTACTTAGATCAAAAAGTAAAGAATTGACAATTCACACAAGACTGCCTACTAATTAGTACGAACCAAACTCACCGTAACCTGGAGTACTTCGATACGCTAGAGAACTACACATACAACAAATCACAAACAAGATTYCCGCACATAACCTCGCCATCTTCACTGCACGTTAATAGCAGCGGTCAACTTCACAATGCTTCACAATGCTGAACTAAATTGCTGGGCTATCATAAATCGAATACTCTTGTTGACGTAACTCGAGAATGACGATGATGTCACATACGCGTGTTAAAATGTGGAGAAGACGTTGACGGATACCGCAAGGTCGGGACCTTTKCGTCTCAGCTACACTCGAAATACAGACAGATTGAAGACCGCAAAATCCATGGCTTTAAACATAATACCACTTTCAAAGTGCCAGCTCTTTATCAAAACGCGTCAAAACATGCCGACGGGTGAGATGGTCAGTTCGCCAGGCCCTCATCCCTTCGTTTRGGGTYAAGGAGTGGGGCTAGGGCATAGACTACAATGTACGCCGACTTTAGCTTTACCAAAGCGTGCGTCGATTATATTCGCGCGGATCACAAATGCATGTTCCGCATTTACTGGAACACCCAAAATGCTTGTGCGTCTAGAGACTCATACATTGGCTTTGGCTCTGTTTTTGAAAACCACGGAGGTACTGTCTCCACTAWATTRAGTGACTTGCACATCTAAAAGAAGATGACACTGAGATGACCTTGAACATTGAGTTGCGTCTTTCCAGGTACTTAGACTGCGCTAGAGCACTGCAGCCAGAGAGAACATGTGCCGGATTTTCTTGGCTTTTCCACACAGTGTACAATGCAKACATCAGAAAGCAGTTGTTATTTGATGAGCGGTCCCCAAAGTGGACAAGGCTAGAAAGACTGTTTTTGGCATGGATGCGCAGCAGATTATTAGGCACCAGATGATGGACAGAGGGAACTTTAAGCGTTTTATGAACGCATCCCTAGGAGATAATTCTCTGTAAAGGGGAATAAGATGATAATGATGATGTTGCTCTGATCCGAAGTGCCGGTCTTACATGCCGATTTTCGAGTGGGAAGAAGACGAACAGTGTTCGTACATCTCCATTACACCTGAGATGGTGTGCGCACTGCCACTCGTTGAGCCAAGCAAAGCATAATTCCTTTCCTTCCTTTTCTAGAGTTTCATCCTCTCGTCTTTTCATGAGTAATCTTCCCAGCCACTTTTGATTTGCAATCTTTTCTTGGAGTTTACATTCCACTGCTCTTTTCAAAAGTAATTTTACACAGGTTGCCTGTACATGCTTCGATGTCAGAGTCTTCTGCAGAGCAGGATGATTCCGCAAATTCCAGCTTCAAGGTTATTTCTAGTTCTTGCGCATATTTGGCATTCTTAGCCGATCTCTCTTCGAATACTCGTACAGCTTTCAGCATAGGGTCTTGATTTTCATAAAGCTTTAAGGCAGCCTTGATCTTTATAAGCTTATACTCTTGTTCGACTGATTTCAAACCACGCCCACCATCTGATCTTGGGAGATAAAGCACTGCATTAGAGCTTAATGGGTGCTTTCCACCGTTCATGCTGATGATCTTCCTTGTCTCCCTGTCGACGTCTCAGTTAGGTTTTCAAGTGTCCACCGTTGGTACGTCAAAGAAGGTAGGGCGAACTGATTTGTCGCCTTTAACACGGTTAGCATCTGAGAGCGGGCTTGTCCAAATTACAGCTGGAGAGCCTTTGCAAGTAAGTTTTACTTACTTGGCACATGTACTCTCTGTCTGTAGTGCTCTAGCCCAGTCTAAGTACCTATGTAGAAAGACACAACGCAGCGCTCAAGATTCTCTTTTTTGAGATGTGCAAGTCCCTCAATTTAGTGGAGACAGTACCTCCTCTTGCCTCCTGGTTTTGTAAGACAGAGCCAAAGCCAATGTACGAGTCCCTAGACGCACAAGCATTTTGGGATGTTCCAGTATATGCGGAACACGTATTTGTCAGCGAGAATAGCATCGATGCACGCTTGGTCAACCATGAGACAAAGCAAGTTGTTATTGCCGAGATGAGCTGTCCGTGGATGGATAATAGAGGAAGAAAGGAAGCTGTATGTGCCATTTCGTTTTGAGATGTCACAACGTTTCCCGGGACACAAAATCATTCCAGTGAACGTTGTTATAGATGTTCTAGGGTGATGGTCGAAAGACAATTTAAAAGCGCAAATGAGAAATGCAGAAAGCAGTGCTCTCCAGCTCTAATGTTTAAATTAAGAGTATACTAACAGAAATAACCAGATTTTTTAAAGGTAAGAAGTAATGTTTAAAGTCCGACAATGAGGACTGGATGGGGTTTCAAGTACGCGCAATTAGTTCCAGTCCGAGACGTTAGCCGAGGACTGGAACTAATTGCAAGGACTTGAAATCCAGTCCAGTCCGAATTGGAGGACTTTGAACGACTTCTCATACTCATTAATTGTTCGGGAGGAGAAAAAAGCGAAGGAAATACATATAACAGAAATATATTGATTTACTGCATCTCCACCAAGGTTTTATGTTTTCATAATTTTGAATAAAGCACCGTTTGTTGTTTTCCAATTCCCGAACGGCTTTCTGAAACAAAAGCTTTTCAAATTGTCTTTGTTTGCTTTTCATGGCATTCCTAATGAGCATAATTCATAAGTTTTATAAGTATGTTATCTTCCAAGGAATCGCATCAGAAACTTGGTGGTGTAATGGTATAAGACGGCGCATATAGATTGGACGGTTCGGGATCGTTTCGTGAGGGAGTCATTTATCAAAGACCCTTCTTCACTAAATTAATTCTATATTAAGTTGATATTTTCTAATACTTTGATTATCATTAGCTAGTAGTAGTTAGAAAAAGCTAGAAGTAACTAGAATCAAGGTAAGAGTAACTGGAAATAAGATAGAAGTAACTAGAAACAAGGTGGAAGTAACTGGAAATAAGATAGAATACAAGGTAGGAGTACTTCCTCTGGTATCCAGTTACTGCACGTGGTACAAATTACAATCAGGGATTGGCTAGATACCTCATGAATAATTAATGAGTATGAGAAGTATGCTTAAAGTCCGCCAGTGAGGACATAGTTAATATTAACTATGGTGAGGACTGGAACTAATTGCGCGGACTTGAAATCTCGTCCAGTCCGAATTGGAGGACTTTGAACTACTTCTCATATCAGTGGCGGATCTATCATTCTCAAAACGGAGTCCAGGTTTTCCGCTTCTCTGCTTTTAATATGTGAGTTCGGTTCGTTTTAATGCAGATTATAAAACTTGTCTTATTTAAGTTAAAGTGCATATGAACCATTTTAGAAAATTATTTTTAACAAAAGTCAAATATGATGCTATTTTGAAGAAAAAAAGTTGTTTGTATTATATCTTTCTGAGTTAAAGGCATTTGAAAATTGAAAATGATAATGAAGTGACGTCAATGGAGGCTTCATTAGATATACGATCCTTGRTGTTATTTCATGGTTTTCCTGTGTTTGCTCTATCTTTGGATATGTTTGGGACAGAATATTACGGTTTTTTTTTCTAGAAACTGATCCCACAATACATTGAAAATCAAGTAGTGACGTAGTCAGAAGTCTTATATACACAGGGATCCCATGTCATATTAAAAATGAAATACAGTATATAATAATGGCCCCTTTAGTCACTGATGTGTGGGATAGTGAGTGCACTAGAGATACACTTGTTGTTCTTATCTTGCTTTTCTTGTGCTATCCTAAATGACATGCAGAAGTTCCTTTATACCCACCTATTGTATATTTTTAAGAAATATATTTTTTTAAATCACTTAATACATAGCTGTCAACTTTTGACTTTTCAATTCTCGAAATTCGTGAAATTATGACGATAACATAAATTGTTCGATTTGGGCTTCCTGTGGTGAAATCCGATTTGTCTATGCATCCTTGCCAAATCCAACATATATTAAAAATAGATATACTAAATGATGTATCTGTTGAAAAAAAGTGAAGATTTGATGATATCTAATTTTTTTATGAGCTCTAAAAGTTGATCATAAGTATTGTATTGTATTGTATTGTATTGTGCAAAACCGAGAGATGCGGGGGATTGGCACTAGTGTTTTGATGACGTAGTGTCCGGAACAACCGAAGTGTCAACCAACATCAGAGAGCTTTGAGTGCAATAGAGAAGAGTACAACTATGTCTTGCCGAGATTCAACTGTCAACATGAGCCATCATCGTCTTCTCGATCAAACATTAAAATGCGTCCCGGACACTACGTCATCATAGTCGTCACCAAACCTCCCAAAGAAAGCTCAGCTTTTTTAGCACAGGATTCCCAAACAAAGCTTATAAAAACCGCTGTAAAATCAAGATTTTTATTTGGTGACTTTGAGGACTTAAACATTAAATCAAAATAATATTTGGCCAGGGTGCATAGCCACTTCAAATGAAACGACGATTGAGGGTTTTTTAAGTGTTCATATCTTGGGTACATCAATACATGACCATATTTTTTCAAGTTTGACGACTATCTGAAGGGAGATCTCAACCTTTATCCAGGAGACCGGGAGATAAGGCCAAAATTCTGGAGACTCCCAGCTAATCCGGGAAGTTTGACAGCTATGTCAGGGCAGCAGAGCCAAAATTGACTTGGGGGCACAACCATAGACTTATAGTGATGTTGTCACATGAACATTTGCAAATGGATTGTACAATGACAAAAAAAAAATGAACTATTGAATGTTTAGAGCCATTTATGTGAGGGGGAAGCAGTGTTAATAATAAAATGGCAGTTTAATTGATACAACTAAAACACGCTTCATGTTTTGAGGGAGCAAACCCAAACTGTCTAGAAACAAAGAAATTTCAACTAGTTAACTAAAACATGTTTGATACAAAACTTTAATACCTTTCAACACTTTTAGCAGAAGTGTTATATAGTGCCAGCACTGTATTTAAAATAACAAAACATTTAATGCTTACATTCAGTATTGACTGCCCATATTTGAGATATACATAATTCACATAATGAAGTAATAGTGTACTTAAGACAATAATGATGTCATGTTTGTCCATGGAAGTACTATCTACCGAATTTTCCAATGCACAATGCAACAAAGTGCACTGTAAAATACACTGAAATAAAACTCTTTAGAGTATCTTAAAAAAATATTCACCTTAAAATCTCTTACTAGTACAATTGAATATATCATGATGTTCCTTGTAGCCGCTATAGCAGCTTCAGCTCTAATGACATGATTGTATAGCTCTAATGACTTTTATTTAATGCTGTTTTGCATTTCTCAAAATGTTAAGATAAATGTATATAATACATTTTTCATACAGTCATCCCATTAGTGCAGTTATTCGGTCCACGCATTGAGACAGACACATGACAACACTGATCTTTTGCATAATAACACATTTTATCATGTTTTCAAGAATATACTCCAAAAATGTAAAATTTGATTTGCTGTTTTTCTTAAGTATTAAGTTGAAATCCTTCCTTCTTATTTTACAAACAAAATTATGTCGGGATTAACTGCAGTAGAATTAATGGTGCAATTGTTTTGAGCTAAAATTTACTCCTGTGATGCTTATATAATATATTCTTGTACTTTTATATTGAAACTACTTTTTATTGAAAAAAAAGTCCACATGAAGTCAAAAATTTTATTCATACCATTTTAGAGAATAGCTAAAATAGCAAAACCAAAAGGAAATAATCAAATACTGAAGAATTATGAAAAGATATCATTAATTAAATTTTTGAAAAACAAAAATATATTTGATAATTTAATCCGAGTGCGCTTGTGCACAGTTAATAGTGTTTCTCTATTACCTTAAATGATACTATTTCTGTGATAACATGATCTTCATTCCTAGTGTGTTCTTTGGACAAGGTAGTTGGCTATCCATTTTAATCAACAGTCGCTCCACAGTTATGGTTTCACCTCTATTTCCAATTGCAACATGCTCTATCCTGGGATTGCAAAGTTTCACTTCCTTGATGTTCTGACATTTTTCTTTGAGGTCTTGTAGTGCAACTGAATCATTTTGATCGATCATTTTGAAGTTAATCAATGAAACTGCCTCAATTTGAGGACAACAGTTTATAAGAGTAGGGACTAACTTGCTTTCTGATAAACTCTCTTTGCGAAGTGGACCAAATTCAAGTACTCTGAGGTTGGGAACAAATTTCAAAAGAGATGCCAGGACTGAGGGGGGTATTCTGGGGGAATGGCTCACCCCCAAGTAGCGGAGATTTGGGGCCTGCCGCAAAACTCCTTCCAAACATTCAGCCGACAGCAAAAAATTCCACCTTAAATCTAGCGTTTCCAAATTCGTGTACTTGACATTTGGTCGAATTTCTTGATAAACTGTCAAATGAAGAATGTGTCTGAATCCACATTGGTTCATTTTAAAGTAGTGTATTTTAGGAAGTCGTGAAATTGCGTTGGAAATACCAGTTGTTGTTATAAAATAGCATCCCGTTAGGTCCAGTTCTTGTACTCTTGTCTCTTCCCACTTCACCGACATTAATGCGTTGTCACACAGCTTCGTGAAGCGAACAAGAAGCGTTGTTATCAAGGGACAGTTCTTGAGCACTCTACTGAGGCATTTCCCATGAAAGTTTTTGCATTCGTTCAAGCATACGGACTCAAGTTGCGGACAACTCAGAGAAATTTTAGCCAAAGCATCGTCAGAAAGCACATTGCAGTCAGTTAATTCCAAGACCCGTAATGACCGCATTTTGGTAAAAATATCGGGGATGAGAAACTCCGAGGACACTGCTCCTAGCCCTACATACTTCATATTGGTGAAATGCCTAGGCAAACGCCGCATAAAAGCGAAGTCTCCCCACGAATACCGTAAATCCATCAGCTCAAGTCCGGTTGGGAAGTCTCGCACATTTCCACAAGCACTAAAATTTACTAGACTTTTTAAGTTATATCTTTTTTTGGACAATTCTTTGGCTAAGTTTGGAGTAAGAGAACACTCTCCCATATTTAGTGATCTCGCTGAGACTAGACGCGTTTGTAAAAGCATCAGTAACGTCGCTTCATCGTTTAAAGGACACGAGAATAGCTGGTTAAGATTCACAGTTCTCCAAAGCGAAGGGTCGTAAGCGATTCTTCTCCATTGCCGGGACACTTGAGCAATTTTCGCCAGCTCTCTAAAGCTAAAATAGCGAAATATTTCCAGTAGAACTGCGTCGGGAAGTTTCCTTTCCGCATAGAAAGACATTATCGGGTGTCTTGGTGAACTCGCGTCGTTTGATAATTGACGAAGACGCCGAGCTCTAGAGCGAGCTCAGCTTGTGTTCTTACGACGGCAACACGCAATTTAATTTCATAGCGAAATTTTCCTTTCTTTAAGTCATGTTGTCTGGTCAAAACAGGCTTCTCTCGCCTACTAAAGGGCTCACTTTGCCAGTCCTCCTTCSAGAGACGTTCAAAGCTGCTTGTAGCTTTCGCTTTGCTTGCAATCGATGCAACACTTTTATTTGCCCACCGGATGTAAGGCCTGGCTTGCAAGACTTCCGGCATCTGATTGGCTTTCTGTTGCGACGTCACAATACAAAAGAACAAAAGTAACACATTTGCACGTTTATCTTTTTTGTTCGTGTCACGCGTTCTCATAAAAACGCGAAATTTAAAAGGCGTCGCTTGTTGGCGTCGCGTCTCAAATTGATTCATTACAATAAATTGCTTTGTCTTATTCCCGGTGGAGTTTTCTATTCGAAAAAGTCATTATTTTCGAAATACTTTTCCTATAGAGGTTTATTRTTTCAATACGAGACTGAAAAGGTTGATACGCAGACAGTACTCCGATTCATGTGGTTCAGTTAGCATGATCTCTATATATTGTATGCGTTGTTTGATAATTCGAATATAAACTGTGCTTTGCTTGTTTAAACCATCGATAAGAGAAAAGAACAGAGATGATTGGAAAACAAAGATAAACCACTGCTCACTACAAATATACTTTCAGTTATACAAGGCATGATAWATGTACTTGATATCAATTAGTGCTTCCAAAGTGACCTCTCAATTGATGATCAGTCAAAATAAAAATATTCCAACAGTCAAAATAAATTTTGGACACTGCACGGTCACTTGACCAAAGCTCATTTCTAATCAATTCGGTCAAAATTTAAAATCATGCTGAAAGAAGCAACTCTTTCATCAGTACAAGCTCTTGCATTTGGTTTTGCATGAATATTCAAGTATTTGATTGGCTTTTTGTTTGTCGATTCGGCCAAATGTGCTGTGTCTTTTGGGGACGTAGAGGTTCGCGGCCGGAGTTGTCTTAATTGGTCTCATATCTTTCCACGTGGTCAAGCTGTCTACATTTCACCCCACAATATCGCTCAACTCCTGATATAAATGATATTAATTTAGTTGTTCGTTACTCCAACGGTAAAGCTTACGAATTGTGGTCAATTAATTTGACKTTGTTAAAGAAGTTGAAATGAACGCGTGCATGTGGTTGCCCAGGTAGTTCAATGGACTCGTTGCTAGTCGTCTCTAAAGGACTACTGTTCCATAATAAGGCAACCTGCCACGGCATATTGAAAACCACAATGCAACAAACAAATGTTTCGGCTTCATTTTTAACTCGGAGATTGGGTCAATCACAGGCCCGTAACCAGGGGGTCCACTAGGTGCACGTGCACCCCCCAGAGAAGCTGAAGGTCAGCTCATCTATCTCCACGTTTTTAGAAATTACATGAATCTTTGTTTTAGATTTATTTTGTAGAATTTGTCCACGATTTTTCCCGGATTTGGTTTTAAAACGAACCAGATTCGATCTGAATCCATGAGACCTTGTATAAGGTGGTAATTTGTGTAATCATAAATAATAAAGATTACCGAAAACGGTAATAACTGTTTTAAATAGGATTAGAAAACCACTTTATATCTTTATATCCGACTTTATATCTGTTATATACTGAAAAGTTGACTGGGCAATAATGGTGCGATTTTATCAGGTGTGCACCCACCCATCTGGTTACGGCCCTCATGGCCCTGAATCAGCCACCRCTCTTCTTAATAGCTATCATAGTACACGTTCTCTGATTGGTCAAATGTTATTGTTTATTTCACCGGTAAACGTACGGATTCGAAAATGCTATAATATAAAAGCTCGAGATTTTTTACGCCTTTTTCGTGTTCTCCCAACATCCCATGTGGTTTTATTTCACCAGGAATGCATGACAATGTGTTGTTTATTACTTAAGTAAACTGTCCTTGTTGTCTGCTATTTTTGGAGAAGTAAATTCGTTTTCACGGTTTCCTGTTCATTTTCCTTTTTATTCACTAGTGAAATAAGGGACCGTGGAGCGGGAATTAGTTTGGCGGGGCTAGCGACTGCCAAAGGAAGGGGGTACAGGGGATTCGGGGATATCATCCCACGAAAAATTTTTGAAATCTTAAACTCTCGGAAATGTCATTTTTGGCGTTATCCGCCAAGACATTTTCTGACCGCTAAAATCGCACGTGTACACTCATACGATATTCAATAAAATCCCAAAGACTTTATGAAAAGCTTCAATTTTAATTTTTCATGCTCTGTTTTTACACAGTCTTTATAGAATGAAAAGTGACATTTCAAAAGGAGGTTCTTCACTTCTTTATTTAAGAAAATTCAAAATGGCGGAAAAATTATTGGGGGGTGGGGATGGGGGGGGGGCTGTAGCCCCCAAGCCCCCCCTGCTCCGCGGTCCCTGGAAATACACATTTGGTCTCCATTAGGTATTGAACTCACGACCTCTTGCATTACTACATAACTTTTATAGTTGCCACTAGAGCAACCTCATCCCCAACCTTCTCTACTCGCTTAAAATGGCGGATGTACAGCGGATGTACGACTCATGAACGCCATATTGAAAAAAGCGAGCCGAGAGACCCTGGGTACGAGATTGATACGACCGTTTTACGATTTTTACGATTAGAACATAAAAAGTTATGGAGCAAGATGTTGCGCAGACGTTATTTGCAGAAGGTGGACTATTGCTTTGCCTTGATGTRCCCAGGCTCACTGAGTTTGGGATTGATCTTAACTCGTGGGCTGTTGGSCCGAACTTCAAGGGAGTCAAAATGATTCCTCCTGGACTACATTTTATATTTTACWGCGCCATTAGCAAAGATGGAGCCAAGGCACCTAGGACCGGGTTCTTTTGGTTTGTAAAGAGAAAAGAAATCCTCGTCAAGAAATGGGATTGTCATACAGAGCAAATTGTCGATGGCGATGGAAGTGAAGAAAATGTGGAGCGTATAAGATCAGGTTTGAAGCATGGTTTAATAGCTTAAATGAAAAGGAAAAAAAAAAGAAAAGGAAAAAGTGAAAGAAAAATAGGTGAACATGCTCTCAGTTGCAAAATTAGGAACGGTTCTTATGTCGACATTTTCGTGGCCAATGCATGAGTCAGTTAGAGTGCATGTATCCATGAAACATTTTGGTAGAGTCATTTTTTCATCTATCTGTGAATAGGAATTGTACTATTAAATACTATTAATCCCTATTAGTTTCTAATAGTTTAACTAATAGCTACTATTAAACACTGACTATTAGTAATTGTTTCTCAGACGGATGGAAAAGACTCTAAGAAATTGTTCATTTATTGCACTAATGAAACGACAGAAGACAAAGGATTTCTCACTAATTTGCCTTATTTAGTTTGCAAACCATTTCATAGATATATTGACAGTACTCTACTTTAGAAGATTAGTACACTGTTAGAGGTTGTCATTTGTTTAATGAAATTTTCATGTGACATTTAGCAAGAGTTTTTAAATTCTTTACTACTTGTCTTAAATGACTTTGTTCATTTCATATTTTTTTACAGGAATGCAAGATTTGGATCGGTACTTGGGAGCCTATCCTTATGACAGCTATAAGAAATGGGTTTCGCTAACAAACCATATTACGAAAGTCACATTAGATAGAGTACAGCCCAGTTCCAAGCAGATCTCATCAGTTACACAGGTTCCTTCTTGTGAAAACTACAAAGGAACTGAAAAAATGGAAGTAGAAGAGAAAAACCTTAATATTTCACTTGAACAATCAGCTGAAAATAAGATAAACTTCACTGATATACCACAAAAGAGATATCCTGATGGGTCCAGCCCTGTAGACATCACTAAACACAGTCTGGATTCTAGTTATGTATTGGAATGTATGCTGGCAAACATGACTGGTAATACTTATCATAGACAAAAATGAATAACACAAGGAAAAATTGTGAAAAAGGTTTTCGTGAATGCCTTCCATAGACCTTTTCTGAAATACAAAATCATGGTGCATTGTGGTCTAGTTTCAGTACAAACAATGGCATATTTGGCAGCATGAACAAAGATGTTTACATACAGAATCTAGACCACAATGTAATGTAAACTGCTATGTAAGAAAAGGCCTATTGATTTCATGCATTTCATCAGTATCCTCAAATTTCTTACTTATCAGTGTTAGTTATATTCATGGAACACTAGCACTTTTTTGAAATATAAGGAATACTCCATTTCACAGTTCCCACCACAATCTTGTCAACCATAAAGGGGGTTGGCTAACCCAAGAAAGTGAAAGTATTGTAGGATATTAGGTCTTTAGGTTGGGGTTGAGCATCACCTCAAACAACCAGCTGGATCTACCTTTGAGGAGTTATTGCTCTAGGTGTTCACTGTACACTCAGTATGCTAGCTTTGATTAACTCATTTGATGACTGAGGAGTTGTTTACAACAGACAGTTAGTAAGTGATATATCAGACTGTAACAGGAAATGTTTCTTTGTTGTTTCTTTGCAGCCGAGACAGAAATTCTAGGAGAACTTCAATTAGCATTTGTTTGCTTCCTTGTTGGCCAGGGTGAGTTTTATTATTATGCTGTAGTTTATATTTTAATTAATAGCAAAAAGTCTAGACTAGAATTATTGATTTCTTTTCTCAAATCTTTCCTTGTTCAGTATATGATGCCTTTGAACATTGGAAGTGTCTTGTCCATTTGTTATGCACTTGTGATGAAGCCCTTACAAAGTATCCAAAGCTATTTGATGCACTAATTGGTATGTTATTGTTAGAGTTCATTCAATATATCCACGAAACATTTAGTAAGAAGGATTTCGCACTAACTTGTAGATATATATTGAAAGCACTCTTCTAACATTCTGTAGCCTTCASTTAACCAGACAATACTTGCTTTCTTAGCCAATTAGTTAACCAGACATTATAATTGCAATATTGATCAATTATTAGTTACATGTAGTCAGACATTATTGCCATCTTATTCTGTTTAGCTGATTGACTAAGATTGAGAACAAATAATGTCTGCATGGTTATTAAAACAAGGAATGACCTACAATGCCCTATGTACAATGACCCATATTGAGATTTGATAAACAACAATCAGTGCCCATAACAACATTTTTAGTAAAGCCATAACAATGTTTTTACCTTCAAACTGCCTCAAAACTCTATGTTTTCTCAATATTTCTGAAGCCCTGCAAAAAGTGGCATATATTTTATCATATCAAGAAGCATAAATTAGTTATCAGTCAAAAAGATATATTCCAGAATAAAAAGAGAAAATACAGAGCCTATATATCATTCTTTGTTCTCTGCTTCTAAACATTTAAATAAAAGTTGATTTGTTCTTGTGTGGTTTCTGTCTTAAAGAGCCACAGGCAGTCCAACAATAATGGAGAGTCCGTTTTGGGGTAAATCCTTGCAACTTGCAACTTCTTTATAATAGTTCTGGCAAGAGAAGGATGGAATTTCCTGGGGGTGCTGGGGTCCTAATGTCCCCTAAAAAGAGAACATGAGAAAATTGATGTGATTGTTAGATCAGAAGGAGCTGACAGGGTCGGTTCTTCTAAATAACTGTTGTTGTATGAATTGTTTCCTGGGAGCTACACTGTTTGTTTCTTTGAAAAACATGGGTGTGCCACAAATCGTATATTTGATTTGGTTTTGTTTTATTCGATCTAAAGGCATGCATACAAAATAGTTACATATAACTCTTACARTAATAACGATACAGTCATAAGATCAATGTTCTTACTTTGTGGCGGGTATCTAGTCTTGTAGATGATCTGGTTAGCCTTGAAAACTGGTTAGCACTGAATAACTGATAAAACTTCTGTACCCGGGCGAAACTGGCGTRGTTCACTCTATACTGATACACGATACTACTTTCTATTCTAAACTACTAATCAGATAAACGTCGATGTCAACCAAATCACTGTAATTACTGTTTGTAAAGTTCAAAGTTATATATGTCCTGATTTCCGGCGGAAACACTGTTGACAATTAATCTCACAAGCAAATGTGCCACCCTTCCTTCTTTAAAATGACTTTGTTCCTGGCAACCGTAGGTATAAAATGCAGATGGGCAAGTATTTTTTCATTATAAACTAAAAAAAAGATCCTTGTAGTTCATTGTAGATCRTTGTAAGTTGTTTTACGTCATTCCTTATTATAGTAACTTTGGAATGCATATTATTAATGTACCACTATTTTACATCTGCATTTATGTTGGAAGCATTCACTCTAAAAATGAAAATGTTGAAATTAATATTGAATCTTACATTTATTTTTTGTTCCTTTAATTTTCTAGGTGTTTTACATTTTCAGCTTCTTGAAGCACCAAAAGACTTTTTTGTAGATATTATTACAAAAAATAACTTTTTAACAGTTACTTTGCAGGTTAGTCATATTTCCCTAATGACCCAGTCAAACTACCACTGACCCCGTCAAACTACCACTGACCAGTCAAACTCCCACTGACCAGTCAAACTCCCACTGACCCAGTCGCTTACACTTACCTGTTTCTTCTGACTGTTTCAAATGTGAAAAATGCAATCAATACTGTCGGCCTCGAGCTGGCCTCTCAGCTCACATGAGACGCTGCTACCTCACACCTCGGCTTTGACAGTCAACATCGAAATTCGATGGACAGCCATAATATACCACTGACCAGTCAAACTACCACTTACCAGTCAAACACACACTGACCAGTCAAACTACCA